AAGAATTTGTGGGAGAAAATACTCTGGGCTCACTAGGCTTAAGAGGCAGGCTTTCTGAAGATGCAGGGCGCCTGAGGACCAGGCCTTTGGGCTGAGTGCCCCACAGCTCATCCCACACCAGAAATGAACCAACTGGAATTGGGAACCTCTAGAGCAGTGGTTCTCAACCTGTCGGTTGTGACCCCTTTGGGGGGTCGAACGACCCTTTCACAGGGGTTGCCTAAGACCATCGGAAAACACATATATAATTACATATTGTTTTTGTGATTAATCACTATGCTTTAATTATGTTCAGTTTGTAACAATGAAATTGGGGGTCACCACAACATGAGGAACTGTATTAAAGGGTCGCGGCATTAGGAAGGTTGAGAACCACTGGACCAAGGTGTGAACGTCTCTGGAAGGTCATTGTTCTGCCAACCACGACCTCCAAGCATGATTTCTGAGCTCCTCCTCTGTCTCTCAGCCTTGGAATTTATCACTTGTTGGCCTCCTCACTCTCTACCTTGGGATTCTGACTTTCTTTAGGACCAGAACCACTTCTTTTTATCACCCAGAACTAACACATTTGTACTCAATGCATAATTATTTAATAAATAGGTAAATACCAATTTTAGTTAAAACCATGCACAAAGAATTAGAAGGTAAGTTTGTTCTAAATTTGGAATGAGGTCTGTGCTTTTGGAAGGTGAGGCATGTGAGAAAAAGTGAAAAACTGAGTGAGGGAAGTCTTTTGTTTTTGTTTTTTAAACTCAATGAATATTATGATGGCTACAGTCTACGATTTGCATTAGGTAAAGGTAAATGGGGCTGTTTAAGTGCAATTCTGTGCAATTCAAACCCGAGGGAGGTTTGCCAGGAGACCACTGCAGTGCTGGGAGTTGCCAGCATTCACGTGCTCCCCGCTGACATTTCAGGACCTGGAGAGCTGCAGGCTGCGTTTGGATCCTGAGCTGGACCGACACAGATACGAAAGGAAGATCAGCTTTGCCGGGGTCCTGGATGAAAACGAAGACTCAAAGGATTCCCTCCACAGTAGCAGCCACACCCTCAAATCCGACGCAGGTGGTGAGGAGAAGAAAGGTATGGAAAAGCAAGGATTGTTTCATGTTTCAGGGTTTCTTGTAGAATATTTGGTCTGGGGCCTAACCTACGGAATTGTTTACCCAAAGACGGGCAAGACCGTTGGCCCCGTACAGTACTGTGTCCATCCAATGAGGTAGGAAACCATTCTGGTTGGGAGTTGGACGCTTCAGTCAGAGAGGCTCAGGTTCTAATTCCAGCTCAGCAGCTCTCCGTATTTCATTGACTCCAAGATGCCATCATTCACGTGATGAAACATTACATACCAATAGAAAGGAAAAATACTCCCCTTCAGCTCTTACACAATACTTTCTTATTGCTTAGTTTGTGTTTCATCCTTTTTTTTATAACTCTTTTTTGTTGTTTTTTTTAAATATATTTTATTGATTTTTTACAGAGAGGAAAGAGAGAGATAGAGAGTCAGAAACATCGATGAGAGAGGAACATCGATAAGCCGCCTCCTGCACGCCCCCCACTGGGGATGTGCCCGCAACCAAGGTACATGCCCTTGACCGGAATCGAACCTGGGACCCTTGAGTCCGCAGGCCGACGCTCTATCCACTGAGCCAAACCGGTTAGGCTGTGTTTCATTCTTATCGAAATAGAATTTCAGGCTTAATTAGATGAAAAATTGTATTTTCAGTATATATCATTCTTGTGCAGCCAAAAAAAGGTAAACCTTTAAGCTGGTTAAAGGGTTTCTAAACTATCCTCAATTCAGAGTTCAAATTTCTTAATCACTTTTCAACTCCGAATTGTCAATGTCCATAATTTTTTTTTAAAGGATGATGTCCTGTGAGTCATCAGAATGTTAAGAATACATCATTTTCAAATTAATCTCTAAAAGGAGTAAAGCTATTGGTGCTAGGCACTTAAGGAAATATTCAGTTGTATGAAGTTAGCCTACCTTCAATTCCTGCTTCTGGAATATTGCCAAACACATCTGATGGACATCTCACGCAGTCGTCCACCCAGCTACCATTTTGCTTCTTGGAGTTAAAAGACACTGATACCCATTCTGTAAAGTTTGTTGCTGATGCTTTAGATCAGTGGTTCTCAACCTTCTGACCCTTTAAATACAGTTCCTCATGTTGTGACCCAACCATAAAATTATTTTCGTTGCGACTTCATAACTGTAATGTTGCCACTGTTATGAATCGTAATGTAAATATCTGATATGCAGGATGGTCTTAGGCGACCCCTGTGAAAGGGTCATTCGACGCCCAACGGGGGCGCAACCCACAGGTTGAGAACCGCTGCTTTAGATGTTCACATGGGAACAAGCAACAACAAATGTGTCACAACTGCCACATGGCACCAGGGATGCTAAGTTTTTTTTCCAACTGTAAGACAAATGTCCATTTCCGGTATGTTAAAATGTGAAAAAATGTGCACCTTAAATTGCTAAAATATAGTCACTAGCTGTGTGACCTTGTCCAAGTTACTTACCCCCTGAAGTACCATTTTTCATCTCTGTAAAATTGGGTTAATAACACCCTATTGTGATGTTGAAAGCTTTAAAGGAGACTACACAAATAAAACATAAACTCAGAACTTGGCACATAATAGGCACACAGTAAATAATTGTCTTTTTTAAAATATCATGAGCTAAAGTAAAGATTGCAAAGTTTTAAGTTGCTCTCTAGAGACGCCTTTAAACTTTTAACTTCTCTATCTGATTGTTGTTCCTTAAATTCCACTGCACATCAATGTTCTCCTAGTGAATTTCACTTAAAAGACCATCAGCACATTTGTAAAAAGAGTCCAAGATGATTTTATGGACTTAGTACTTTCTAGTGTCCAATAGACAATGACTCCATGAATGTTTGATGATTTAAGGAATGAACAATCTTGAAAGGAATAGCCCTAAATAGAGAAAACATCAAATCTTTAAAGACTTTAAAATTTTTCATGGAATGGACATACACAGAATTATTTTCTAATATTTCAAGATTGTAGTCATGGCATTTTCAAAATGCAAGTAATTGTTACATCATAATGAACTTATGGTGAACCAAATATTATTTTAGCAAAATCTTAGCAATTTCTGCACGTGAAGAAGTACCAAATCAATATATTTTCAAATATTCCTGCTTCAGATAAGGATAACCACATATGAAGAGAAGCTTCCATCTTCTAAGCATAGCCCAAGGGGATTTTTTTGGTCCATTCAAAGTTATTATGCTAATTATTAAAGTCGCTGAAATAAAAATTTCTAATACTGACATAGTTAAACTTGAGCTGAGTAAATTCTACACCATTTTAAAAAATAAAATATCAGGTTAATTTTAAGGACACATTAATGATTACTGTTTTATAAATTGCTATTAATATTCAAAGACACAAATGCTTACTATTTTTTCTTTTCATAGAATAGCCATGTTAATATATGAAAGTTGTTTAATAAGTGAAGCGCAGTAGACTGAAACTATAAATAAATGAAAACATATCCATAAAATATCATTTACCACTTAGCAACAATCTCCTTAAGATTCCTAAATATTCCTTAGTCCTTTTTTTCTTTGTGCAATTTCTTTTTAATTTTTTTAAAAAATATATATTTTATTGATTTTTTACAGAGAGAAAGGGAGAGGGATAGAGAGTTAGAAACATTGATGAGAGAGAAACATCGATCAGCTGCCTCCTCCCCACTCCCTACTGGGGTGTGCCCGCAACCAAGGTACAAGCCCTTGACCGGGATCTAACCTGGGACCTTTGAGTCCACAGGCTGACGCTTTATCCACTGAGCCAAACTGGTTAGGGCTCCTTAATCCTTTTGATAAGTAGATTTCAGCTGCTAAATCAATGTGAAAATGGGGACCATGAGGACCCTGCTAACTTAGATTATAAAAGTTTTATTTAAATGTTCATACCATCTGTTTATATTAAAGCAAAAGATTAAGTTCTTGAAATAAACAACCTGAGGACAATTCAGACACTACTGAGGAAAGCTAATGTGAAATAATTTTTAAACTAAAAATTTCTGCCTAAAATCTCCAAGCAGGGTCTGTCAAACCATTTCACCCAGATTCCAAATACAAACCACGATTGGTATTCCAATGCACAAGACATTTCTGATCAGTGGACAATCATCTATTGAGCACCTACTGAATGTGAGGCATTATTACATGTTTTCAGAAAACAGCCATGAGGAGGAAAATTTTCCCACATATGTTTTAGTTTATATTAGCTAAAAGTTAATCACATAATAGGGAGTAACACTACATACTTTTTAAATAAAGATGAGTTGTATAAAAAAAAAACAAATTAGGGTCAGAGAATTGGTAGTGACCTAGAGTTGGGGGTACTTTTGTTCAGAGAAGGACCCCATAAGTGACGTTGAGAAGAGACATGTATCATGTGAAGGAGCCAGTCATGCAAAGGGAGGAGTTTTCCAGCGACAGCCGTGAGAACATGGCTCTTGTGCAGGAATGAGCCTGGAGCACTGGAAGAAGGGCAAAAAGGCCGACATGGTTGGAAAAGAATGAGGGGGGAAAGGTGGTAGGAGGGATGGGGTCAGAGGGCAATTAAATGGGGTCTGTAGATATGTTTAGAAATTTAATTCTACTTTGTGTATCGGAGAGTTGTTGGCAGGTTTTGACCAGAACAGTAATATAATATGTGTATTTATGATTTATGTATTTAAAAGATGAGTCTATCTGTGGGAGTGGGGGGAAAGGGGAGCAGTTAGCTAGTTACATTAGCCTGGGGAATAGGTGATGGGGCTTTCAAAGCCCTATAAAATTTTGATGTGTGGAGCCAGCAGGACTTGCTAATGGATAAAATGTGAGATGAGAAAAAAAGGGATAAAGAGATATTTAATTTAATTTAGATAAATTTGTGTCACTTTCATGGTAGTTCTTGTTGTCATGGAGATAAGGACTAAAATTCAATGCTGTGCAATCTCAACTAATGTTTTTCATGAATAATACCAAATCCGAATTCTTATTGCTGTGTCCTCTATAAATAATCGATGCCATATTCCTTTTTTCTCCTTTTTTTGTTTTATTTTTTTCAATTATCATTTATCCCCCCATACTCTTTTACACCTCCACACCTCTCCACAGTCACCACACTATTGTTCATATCCATGAGTTCTTTTTTTTTTCCTTTTTAAAGTCAATGTCATAATTCTGAACACCAATTTTTCAGTGTTGTCTCCAATTACCCTTGGGGATAGAACAGGTTGCATTATGAAATCAGCCAAGAATGTTAAAGTATACCTCTATACAAATTAAGAAAAAACTCTAATCTTTTTCTCTACTTCCCAATATACTTTGACATGAAATTGTATTAACGGTCACTAAAAATGACAATTATATTCTATTTCAAATTTATTTCAGGTAGGTCAAAAAGTCTCAGTTAAGCCTAAAAATAAATATGGAAGAAAAACAGTGGATGAGTTGTGTGCTATAATTAAAATAGAGTAGTATGGTCTCTAGTCTTTATGGAACTTATCCAACTGTGCTGCAAGAATTTTTCTTCAGATGTGCACT